TTTTCCCCTAGATTTCTCTTTTCCCCTCCCTTTCTCCTATCTTTCTCCTTTAGTTGTGTTTTGTCCTCCTTTTCCTCCTCCTCCTTAATCTCAGGCTTGGCTTTTCTTTTCTCCTTGACATGGGATCAGGCTTTTCTTTTGACACAGGACTGGCACTCTGCCTTCTCTTTGACCTTAGACTTAGCCTTTCTTATGTCTCTTATTTTTGTTATATTTTATGTTCTTTGCTGGCATTGCTACCATCTGTCCTGGAGTTCCTCAAAGGGGATTTGTCATTTCATATACCATTCAGAATTTCTTAATGTAGCAAATCACACTCTTTTGCATTATCAGCAATTCTGCTATGTGTATTACTGTCCTGAGCTCAGGCTTCATGAGTTTAATTCTTCCTGACTTGTAGTAGCAGTTTACAAATTCTTCAGAAGGCTGATTTTTGTTGTTGGTTTTTTGTTCTTTTTTTGTTTTGTTTTGTTTTTTTTTGCTTTAGAATTCAGACTCTGTCTGGCATCATTATTTCCAGCCTGCATTTCATTTATTTATTTATTTATTTATTTATCTACCTATCTATCTTTTGTTTTATTGGAGAGAGGAAGTTGGTTGGGGTTTTTGTTTTGCTTTGTTTTGCTTTTTTTTTTTTGTGTGTGTGTGTGTGTTTTTTTTTTCCTCAGCATTTTTTTTTCTGTTTCCTTTCATTATTCTTCTTAACTGCAGTATTAATTAATAGGCTTGTCTGCAGCCATGTTAAGCTGATATTTTTTATCCTTTAAGCTGTGAGATTTTCTTTTGTTAATGTTGCAAAAATCTTCAAATTTCCTAATGAAACATGTATTATAGTGTATTCAGATGTTTACCCTTATTCTTCTGGTTAGGATTTTTTAATCTGTTTTATCATATATTATATCTTCATTTTGATGCAGGTAGCTCTTGGCAATTCAAATGTAATTCACATGAGAAATGAATTTTCATTTTTCCAGTCTTATTAGAAAAGATTAGTACCTAAATACTTTTGAAGGCAAGATTTTTCAAGAAATGTCAGTTTTATTTTGAGAAAAATGTACCTCTGCAAATTCACCTCACTTGTTCCTAGATGCCATTGTGCTTTATAAAGAGCTTCATTCTTCCTTGCTGGAAAGCATCCTGTGGTGATGGCCTCATCCTTTCAGATTCTGTGGTATTGTGGTTGGTAGCAGCCTTTTTTCTCTGAAGAGTAGACTCTGATTGTCATTTATGTAAGGCTGTTCTACTGACTTTGTTCATCTCTGGTCTCTGCTTGGGTTTATCCTGGTCTTGCAGATCTTGCACAGATTCATATATTCCTATTCTTTCTTTCTTTCTTTCTTTCTTTCTTTCTTTCTTTCTTTCTTTCTTTCTTTCTTTCCTTCTTTCTTTCTTTCTTTCTTTCTTTCCTTCCTTCCTTCCTTCCTTCCTTCCTTCCTTCCTTCCTTCCTTCCTTCCTTCCTTCCTTCCTTCCTTCCTTCCTTCCTTCCTTCCTTCCTTCCTTCCTTCCTTCCTTCCTTCCTTCCTTCCTTCCTTCCTTCCTTCCTTCCTTCCTTCCTTCCTTCCTTCCTTCCTTCCTTCCTTCCTTCCTTCCTTCCTTCCTTCCTTCCTTCCTTCCTTCCTTCCTTCCTTCCTTCCTTCCTTCCTTCCTTCCTTCTTCCTTCTTTCTTTCTTTCTTTCTTTCTTTCTTTCTTTCTTTCTTTTCTTTCTTTCTTTCTTTCTTTCTTTCTTTCTTTCTTTCTTTCTTTCTTTCTTTCTTTCTTTCTTTCTTTCTTTCTTTCTTTCTTTCTTTCTTTCTTTCTTTCTTTCTTTCTTTCTTTCTTTCTTTCTTTCTTTCTTTCTTTCTTTCTTTCTTTCTTTCTTTCTTTCTTTCTTTCTTTCTTTCTTTCTTTCTTTCTTTCTTTCTTTCTTTCTTTCTTTCTTTCTCTCTTTTTTTTTTGTAGCTTATTGCTGAAGCTACCCACCTTTTCTGTGGGATATTCTAGTTGCTTATGGCTGAGGTTTCAGTCCTTCACCTCTGGCTTCAGAGGAGTGTCAGTATTTTTCTGCTTTATTTGAGTATACTACCACAAGGAGATACTTATGGAACAGGCAGAAATCAAGACCAGAGGCACAGGTAGCTTCAAAAGTGTAACTATTTAAAGAAGAAGAAGATGAAGCAGAGGAACATGAGAAAACTATGATGTTAGGGAGAGAGAGAAAGGAAGAAAGAAGCAGCATGAGTTCTACTTTATCTTTCTGATCTGCTTGAAGATAAGAAATACAGCTGGGAATATTATCATTTAAGGAGACTGTGTAGTCAAGAGATTTCCTGTCTTTTTCTGATGTGTTACTATTCATTAATGTTGAAAAAACAGCTCTCCCCTGGAGATTTTTCTTTTTGGCTGAATTCCTCTGTCTGGTCAGAGAGAGAATTCCTGCACATTTAGCAAGGTAAAAGATCCATTTCATAACCTTTTCACTACTTGATACTTACATTTGTTCTAAGTGGAGGCAGTAATTTACTATCACTCATTGCTTAGATATCTGTATGTCAACACTACCCCAATATATGCTAAAAGTGGGTGGTTTGATTCATTGCTGAACGCCCACATTCTTTGAATGGTCTTTTACCATTTGAGATGCCTGTGTTCCCTACTAATATATAAAATAGATTAAAATGTGTAATCATTGTAATGGATGCTTTTAAAGATTAATTTAATGCTGCTAAGACTCTGTTTATAATGATATATTTTGTCACGTTATGAATGTAACTGCTCCTACCAGAGTTACCATAGTCCACCTATACTGATGAATAGAACTGAGCATCACAGAACAAATTAAAAATCTTACTTTTCAACTGCATATTGTGAAGAGCTATCAGATGTTTTTGGGGATGTCTAGAGAGGCAATCATGTAAAAAAAAAAAACAAAAAACAACAGCAAACAACAAACCCCTACACAAACAAACAACAAACAACACTTTTTTTTTTTTTTTTTTTTTTTTTTTTTTTTTCCATGAAATAGAGCTTTTGTTTCTCAAGGAAGGCTTCAGGAAGTAAGATTAGGAGGACTTTCAAAGTCCCTTAACATTTATATTAGACTTTTGTTTAAAAAAAAAAAAAAAAGTTACAAATACAGAGGAAAAAGTGTCACTCTAAAAAAGAAAATACGTATTGAAGACTTCCATATTTTATCTTACAACTTGACTACTAGTCTTCTGATGTGTGTATATACTTCCACAAGAGCATGCTGGTAGAAAAGAAGTGCAGTATTTGCAGTTCTCTTTTAAAGAGCAGTTGCCTATTAGGGAGATAAGTTATAAATAAGAGGCATAATCTACATGAGCAGTGAAATCTCCAATAGAAATGACACTGTCATATGGATTGATTTAAGGCATTATCATAGCTTGGAATAAAGAATGCCCTAAGCTTCAACATGATTCCTCAAAGGGTGTGTATGAAAATGTATACTGCTGCCAGGTTTCCTGTGTGATAAGTGTCCAGATGGACGCTTTCACAGTTTAGTTGGAATGTTTCACACATTTTTTAATCATAAAAAATTGTACTTGACTCCATGTTCCTAAATTAGTTCTTTTCAGACTGAAATATCCAACCAGACTGAGAGATTGAGATATCCAACCACAGGTACATAGTTCTAGAGGTAATCTCATCTTAGTTACATGGGATTGAGAATTTCATTGCAGCTGTTCCAATGAATAGCACTTACCATGAGTGGTTTGGCTGTAGTAAGTTTTTTTTTAAAAAAAAAAAAAAAAAGCAACAATTGTTCAGTGTGATTAAGATTGCAGTATATGACAATAGCATTTCATTTAGACTTTATTGTGGTCACAAGTTAAGTACAAAACCTGATATAGAATAGTAGTAAGAATAGTGGGATTACTTTATGTCCTCGCTTTCACCTGTCGTTTGTTTTGCAATTATAGTTTTCATTTAAGGTTTTTGTCTATATTGATTAAGATAGTGAAAATATGAATAAATGATATGTAGTATCATGGTGCACTAAGAGATACAAACAAAAACCAATACGAGTAGCATATGTACTCGTATTGGTATGTAGCATATGTAGCATATGTGCCATAACTTGCTATGCTGACTTTTGTGAGAAGATGTTTCAGCTGATGCAGTCTTCAAACAAATGCAAATTATTTGAAGTAACTTTTTAAAAAAGTTATGTTTTGAAGTTTAAATTCCAGTGTCTCAGTGTAGTATTGGCAAATATTGGTAGTTAGTCTGTCAAATATCTAAATGGATAGTTTATTGATAAATAAATTACCAATTAAAATGTCATTTGCAGTATAAGCTCCAGTTGTGAATTATTGATTATTCAAAAAGAAATGTCTGGTACACGTGTAGTGTTTTTCTGGTCATCATAACTTACGTAGAAAACAAACAAAAAATAATACTACATTTTTGTGAAAGATAGTTAAATCCAGGTAAACTAATTGAAATTCTTGAAATAAACCATGCTCAACTAAGACTTAAATATCTCAATCTTATAGAGGATCAGATGAGAAAATGCATTATTGCTATTTTTCCGTAATGCTTTCTGCTGAAGTCTATAGTATATGATTTTGGGAAATAATAAATAACTGTCACTTGATTTAATACTCTCCATTTGAACATTTACAGTATATGCTTAAACAAATATTTTTATAATAATTATGTAAAAAAGTTTGGTTTTTTTTTTCTTTATTTATCTTAAGGTAATTCCCTTAATTTTCTTTCCCTAAAATGAGTACCTCTGTGGTTTTAAGTATTAAAGGAAATTTTGCACGAGAGATTGATATACACAGAAAAAAAAGTTCTAGTAATTGTTATGGCAAACATCAATAGATTATCATCATATTTGTATCTTCTGATTATCTACCTCTATATATTTAATCTGGAAAATCAATATTGCAGGTAACATCGTAAGTGGGTTTTTTTGTCACTAACTGTGACTAATAAGTCTGCTCTTTTTCCTTCTTTTACTGAAGAACACTTTATATTTCTTTCTAACAGGCAACATTTGTGCTGTAACTAAAATGACGGCATGCTGCCTCCTTTGGGGGGATTCTGAAGGTTTCTCAAAGATGCAACACAGTGGTAAGTACTAAAATTATGGTCAGAATAATATTGTTCGTCGAAAAATATATTACATAGATGAATAGGAATCCTCCCTTGCTGATGTCCTTAAATTTATTTGAAATATGTGTTTGCAATATATACTTCCAGTTAAAATGCTTGTGATTTATCATGTGTTCATACAACAAGATCTGGAATCCAGTCCATTCTAAATCGTAATGCTGTTTATGTGCTTATTCATGGTAAGCAGGAATTTTGTATATTTTTCAGTTCTGGAAATATGGAGCAGTACCAGTGTGCAGTTAAAAGATACTGGATTAAAGTTGGCTATTGTGATAGTCAGTCAGACAGATAGGCATGAGAAGACATATCTTTTTCTCTCACTTTATTTGTAAAATAGGAGGTAACATTATTTAATAGTACACATAGACACACACATATATGCAAATGCATACACATATGTACACACATTTATGCATTCGGTATATGGCAGACTGGTTATAAGATGAGGGTACCATTATGTGAATTGTAAAAATCAGACAAAGAAAATAACAGCTTTGTAAACTCTTGTGATTTTTGCATCACTGAACCATATTTATTCCAATTTATTGTAATTTAAATGTAATACAGTAAAAAACATTTGATGGATAGGAGCCTGTTTAATAGTTTAGCATCCATGCTGACCACAGTCATAGCTGAACTCTTAGTGGTTATTATAACAATAGTACATGTATGCATGAATACATACGAAAGATTCAATTACCCACTCTCCTCAGAGCACTTGTGATTTTGGAAAGAATCAGGAAAAAGGAAAACAATTGATTTAAAGAATGCAAAGCTGATATAAATAAAACACAGCTGAAGTCAAAATAATCAGTTGATTTTTTGGAACTGACAGTTCATGTTTAACATTAGCCACAGCCAATTTCCATGAAGGGACAGAAAGTCTAATAATCTCAAAATCTATCAGAGTGTACTCAGGTAAATGACAGAAGGTGGGAGGAATTTGGAAAGAAATCTAAGGGATGGCGTGATTGTAGTTTTCAATGTTTTCATAGCATGTTGTTTGTTTTTCCTAATAATGCAGAGAAAGAAATTCACAGAGAATCAGAAGAAAGGGAAACAAACAACATTAAAAAAGTGAGATAGAGCCTACTGATCTCTGTATTTTAACCTTTAGACATCAGAAGACGTGTGCCTTTTGAAAGTTTCCTTGCTTGTGTGAAGTGATAATTGGACTGTACATAAACTAAGAGAATTAAAATTGAAGTTTTAAATCTACTTCAGATTTATTGCAGATCCTCTGCTTCTGGTTTCTTGAAGCGTAAATTGTCACAAGCATTTATGTTCAGTTGCCAATCCTAAATTACTCACCACAACCACAATAGAAATATGCTAGTGTATGCTAAGGAATTTGATATTTTGTCTGGAAGAAGATTGTATTCTCATGGGAGGTTGTCAAGAAATGAAACAGATCTGAAGGTTTTAAGAAGAGAGCACAAGCCAAACCAACTGTGATGATATATTTGTAGTGGAGAGCAGGGAACCATTTGCATGATCAGAAGAACTGGAAGAGTGGTGGGAATCATTATCAGTGTTTCAAAAATAATAGTTATGACTTTTGCTGTATTGTTCTGTTTATATGTAAAGAAAATACAGAAAGGAATCCCTACCCCTTGACAACTTTCACTATTTTCTTGATATCATTCTCATACAGAACTCCCGCTAAAATTCTTCACCATAATCCTACAATCAAAATGATCCTCCTCAAGGAGAGAAAAGTGCAGTTAGTGTTTAGAGTATGTAAGTGAGTGCCTGCTGGTGATATCCAATACAGTAACAAACATGAAACCAAGTAAATGGTCCTCAGATTTTGATCTTACTTCACAGGTAGAAGCTAGTTTAAATAGTACAATTTCATTCTAAAATCCCGACCTGACAGCTGACTGTGCAGATGGAGCCCTGTGGTAATCTGTGGGATGCTGTGTTGTTTCTTTGATGTAGCCACATACTGTCAGATTCTTGATCATGGTCTCAGACTCTGATCAAGCCTTTTGCCTTGTATCATTTATGGTAACAAATGTGAAGGAATAATGAAGCCTTCACATTAGAAGGCAGGAATAAATCACTCCAGCTCTAATCACAAAATTTTAAGAAATAGATCACTTTTTAGCTGTCTGAGGAGAGCCAGGGCACAATATAACTCCTTCTCAAATCTCAGGATTCAATGTGGTTCATTGGAATCTTTGCTTTTCCTCCTATTGTCATGATTTATGGCCACAAATGGAAGCACTCAGCTGAACAATGCAAACTCTTGTTAAACAGTGCTTTCATTGGATGATTGGTAAATTGAACCTTAGCAAATTATGTGTAGCAGTCTCAATAGCTTCATGACATCACTGATGCTGTGATATGGGAATTTGAAGTGACATATCCATTCTTTCTTTTATTGCAGTATTTATGTGTTTCAGTGTGACTGACCTAACTAATCAAATGTAGACACACTGTAAAGATTTCCACCAAAATGTAGATTTCTGAAGAATCCAAGTAATCTAGATCCGTGTAATTATGATGTAACAATCACAAAAACATTCCAGAGGATTAAATTTATTTCAGGTGGCAATACAATTAAATGTATTTAACACTTTTGCCTAAAATAATTACTGTGATTAAAAAAAATAATGAAAAAATAAAAATAAAAATCTGACACATGATTCCTTTAAAACTTTAAGATGTAGAAACTATTCTTATCTAAGTAATGATTCCTTAAACACAACTGATATTTTAGACAATTAATTTGAACTATTTAAAACTCGTGCATTATTTAGAGCATTGTACCACAGCCAATAACAAAGGATTTAAAATTACCTAATTTCAGTATTATGCAGACTGGATGGCTAATTCCATGAATTACAATTAGCCATCCAGTCTGCATAATACTGAAATATTCAAGCAAGAAAAAGAAATATAAAATAATCACACTGTGTACTTTGCATATGCTGCTCATTTGAGTAATTAGAAAGGTTTTTTTTTTTTAATTGTTATATTAAATTTGAAGAACTTGAGTGCCAGATTTAATATATTTAATTATATAGATATATATTTAAAATAAATAATATTTTAGTATTTTAATTAATGCTTGAATGAGAACATGTTTTATCTCTGTAACTCATAAAAATTAAATGTACTGTACTGAAGAAGGAGTGATGTTTTATCAGCTTGTGCTAATAATTTTTAACCTAAGGAGTAAAAAAACCCACCTCTTTTTGCTATAAAAGGTAGAATACTATCCTTTGACAGTAAAGCCCTACGGTAAATAAATTACATACAGTGTTGTTCTTCATGCTAAGTTCACAACATGCTGTGTTTTCATTCATTAACTGCACAACTGTCATGTTTTGTTTGGATATCTCAGTAGTATGACAAGTGAGACCACTTTCTACATCTTTTGCAAAATACCATTTTAGCTCTGGAATCATCTAGTTTCTAGAGTTGAAGGCAACTGAATAATGATATCCTTTTAATACAAGTTATAACACAAGTTATGATAACCAGGGCCATGTTTGTTAAACATGTAAGAGTCCCAAAGTAAATGGTCTTGTATATACATGACAGGTAATTTTTAACACACATGTAGAACTTTAAGAAAATCAACATAGGAACTGGAATTCAGGGAGAAAGTAGGTGGAAAATAAATCTAGAATTGTAAAGTTTTGCTTTGGTAAATTTTTAAGTAATTAATTAAAGATGAAACCTTTTTAAACGAGGATCCCTTCTGCTTATCACATAGTTATTATATTAGGAGAATTTAGCTTTTTGGATCTTTGTGATAGATCAGGCTGCTTAAAAGCAGACTTCTAGTGCAACTTCAGGAGTCCTGCAATACTCTGTTATACTTCCAGAAGTACTCTAGAAGGCCTCCTGTCTTGTAACTGTTATTTTGTTATAACTGTTATAGACTCATATAGACTCATATACAAGGGCTTCATACTCAAATATTTCCACTTCCACAATCTGGATGTATATCTAGACATTAAGTAAGTAGAGTAGATCCCCACTGAGTTGCTAGAGACCTAGCTTACAGACAGGCTACTTCATTTAGGCAGCAAAGAATGTATTCACTTATCTAGAACTAAAATTTGTTCCTACTTTTTAATTCTGACAAACATAAAACAAACATAAGTGTCAGGCAAGCAGTAAACTAGTCAGTCAAGACTGGACAGCTGGCTGCATGCAGAAGCATATCTTTCTGTCTCTAGGGAAAACTATTATTCCTCTGGGCTTTTCAGGTATCTAGAATATTAGGTGAGATTTTTGTGGCTCTAAGCCTCATTGTGCTTTATGATACAAAAGAGTGGGCCTCTAACGTTTTATGTATTTCTAAGGTTAACTAGTAAGAAACATAAAGACCATTTTGATCCTCTTCTGGATATAAATCTTGTCTTAGATACCTAGGACTATTTTGGATTTGACCTTGTTCATTTTATGGGATGGAGAGAATTGAAGAGGAATTCTTAGTCTTCTAGGAGCTGGCAAGATGAGATGTAGCTATTCTGAACTGCTGGGAATGAATTTGGAACGCTGGTGTTGCGGAAAATTCCGGAGGAGAGGAAAATAGTCTGGGCTTTGTTTTGATAAAGTGACTGGATATTTAAGTGTCTTTAAAAAATGCTAGTATTGTATTGCTAGAGGAAACAATGTAGCATAGTTCTTTAATGATGAAAAGTACTGAATTATTTCTGTTCTGTGCCAAATGCAAGTAATCCACCACAATTATGCTAATCACTGCCCTGAAAACAAATTGATGCAGCTATTGAGTGACTAGGGAAGATAATTTATTTCTTTTTCAAATGTAAAAAAGAAAATTAAAATGCTTTCGCTATCAGAAAGTCAAACTGCTTGCAGAAATATCTTAGAACTGAAAATCACTGGTTCTGAAGGTAAATTTGTTTGTTTGTATATGTGCATGTAAAGTACTTTCAGCCTTAATTGCATGCCAGTTTAGACTCAGACATGTAGTA